ATAAGATATATATGAAGAAAACTAAAAAACTCTGATAAAAGCAATCAAAGAAGAACAAGATAAATGGAGAGATATTCCATGTTTATGGATAGGAAGACTAAACATTTGCAAGATGTCAGTTCTTCCCAACTTAATCTATAGATTCAATACAATCCCAATCAAAATATCAGCAAGTTATTTTGTGGCTATCGATAAACTGATTCTAAAGTTTATATGGAGAAGCAAAAGACCCATAACAGCCAAACCAATGTTGGAAAAGAAGAACAAAGTTGGAGGACTAGCACTACTCAACTTCAATACTTACTATAAAGCTACAGTAATCAAGAAGGTGTGGTATTGGTAAAAGAATGGACAAATAGATCAATGGAACAGAATACAAAGTCCAGAAATAGACCCATATAAACATAGTCAACTGATCTTTGACAAAGGAGCAAAGGCAATACAATGGAGCAAAGATAGTCTTTTCAACAAATGATGCTGGAACACTGGACATCCACATGCAAAAAAAATGAATCTAGACATGGATCTTATACCCTTCACAAAAATTAACTCAAAATATATCATAGATCTAAATGTAAAACACAAAAGTACAAAAGTCCTAGAAGATAACATAGGAGAAAACCTAGAAGACCTTGGGTATGGCAGTGACTTTTTAGATACAAAACCAAAGGCACAAACCATCAAAGACACAATTGATAAGCTGGACTTCATTAAAATCAAAAACTTCTTTGCGAAAGACAATGTCAAAGGAACGAGAAGACAAATCACAGACTGCGAGAAAATACTTCAAAAAGATACATCTGATAAAGGACTGTTATCCAAACTATACAAAGAACTCTTAAAACTCAACAGTAAGGAAATGAACAATCTGATTAAAAAATGGACAAACGATCTAAATTGACACCTCACCAAAGAAGATACACAGATGGCAAGTAAGCATATGAAAAGATGTTCTACATCATATGTCATCAAGGAATTGCAAAGTAAAACAATGAGATACCACTATACACCTGTTAGAATGGCCAAAATCTAAAACACTGACAACACCAAATGCTGATGAGGATATGGAGCAACAGGAACTCTCATTCATTACTAGTAGAATGCGAAATGGTACAGCCACTTTGGAAGACAGTTTGGCAGTTTCTTACAAAACTAAACATACTCTTACCATATGATCCAGCAATCGTGCTCATTGGTATTTACCCAAATGAACTGAAAACTTATGTCCATACAAACACCTGCACATGGATGTTTATAGCAGCTTTGTTCATAATTGCCAAAACTTGGAAGCAACCAAGATGTCCTTCAGTAGGTGAACGGTTAAATAAACTGTGGTACATCCAGACAATGGAACATCATTCAGCGCTAAAAAGAAATGAGCTATCAAGCCATGAAAAGACATGGAAGAACCTTAAATGCATATTACTAAGTGAAAGAAGCCAATCTGAAAAAGGTACATCTTGTATGATTCCAATCATATGACATTCTAGAAAAGGCAAAACTATGGAGACAGTAAAAAGATCAGTGGTTGTCAGGGGTTTGGGTGGGGAGGGATAAATAGGCAGAGCACAGAGGATTTTTAGGGCAGTGAAACTATTCTGTACGATATTACAATGGTAGATACATGTTATAACACATCTGTAAAATCCCATAGAATGTACAATGCCAAGAGTAAACTTTAATGTAAATTGTGGACTTTGGGTGATACTGATGTGCAAAGTAGGTTCATGGACTGTAACAAACAAGTGTACCACTCTGGTGGGGGATATTGATAATGGGGGAAGCTATGCATGTGAGGGTATATGGGAATTCTCTGTATTTTCTGCTCAATTTTGCTATGAATGTAAAACTTTCCTAAAAAATAAAGTTTATTAATTTTTGAAAATGTCATTACTTACAATATCCCAGAAATTACATCTTTTATAACTATTTAAATTTAGGATGGAAAATTTTAGATGTCAACTTAAAAATTTTCAAGAAGGTACATAGTTTTTCAAAATTCTTTTAGGGATTATGGGGAACAAAGTTTGAAGACTCCTAGTCTAAGACAATGGTTTTCAATAAGGACTTCACCATCCCCAGGAAGCATTTATGGAAATTTGTGGGGCATCTTTAGTTGTCACAATGATTGGAGGCAGCCATTGGCATTTAGTGGGCAGGGTGCCAATGATGCTAAACATCTTGCAATGTGTGGGGCAGCCCTACATGAGAATTTTCCCACATTCCACAAGATTTCTAAATGTCCCTGCATAATAATTTAAAATTATTTGGGTCTAGAACCTAACTTTGTTTTACATATAATCACAAAGTATTTCTGGAATAGCTGTGATAGATGCTGAATTTGAGAGGAAGGCAACTACCATATACATCAAAGGAAGATTGTACTTGCCTTGTTCATAATTTTACCAAAATGTGTTTGCTACTCATGAAATTTGATCTCCAATACCATGCTCCTGTAGAAGTCTGCCTGCACACAGGAGGTTGGAGACTCCATTTAACAGACTCACTCAGAATCAAATATAATTAAATTAGTGGAGATACGTGAAATACAGGATCACACTGAATTTTATTAATAGAGTGGTTAAAAAACATTTCATAGTATTGCCATCCAATTATTTTAAATGGGATATTAAGAATAAGAAATGAGTGGAGAAAACAACATATTGAAATTATTTATTATTTACTGTCTATGTTGCTCATGGTTTTTCACTCTTACTCTGTCACTGTCCCCAGAAATCTACACACAACTTCTTTATAGCTTCATGTAGTACTGCTTCATTTCCCACTCAGACTCCAGCGCTGTCACCTACCAAAAGACATGGTCTTCGTGGCCATCTTAGTAGTTTAACGTGCCCTTGGCTTCCATGGAGAACCCATGTAACAGCCATTGAGGGGCTATTTGCATTTCTTTGTAAATCTGCTACAGAGGACATCATTCATTGGGTTACTCAATGCTCATTATGCGGCAACCCTCTGAAAAACTTATTAGAGAACTCGGGGCAGGAAAAGCTGGTTATTCCTAATGGGGCAGGATCAGCTCTAGCATTTGCGAGTTATGGAATGACTGTGTGGCTCCTTTTGCCATGGCTGCTAAAAAGTTCAGGATTTCTTTTTGGAGTTTTTCTCCTTTTCTTCTGCTTTAATTCTTCACTTTGAATTCCTGTCCATATTAATTTCTCTGAATATTAAATCATCTGAGCTTTTATGGAAAGCCACCTTAAGATATACAAATCAATAAAATAATGTATTGCTGTAGCCACCATGTCTTCTCCACTTGTCTCAACATGATCGTCTTGATTGGTGAGAAGAACACTGCACAGGGAAGGTTCTATGTTCTAGCTTTTATGTGCCCTCACTTCGCTTAGGTCTCTGCACAAATGTCAACACTTCAGAGGGGCCTCCCCTGACAACATCCCTACCTAAAACATCCCTCCGTCCTCTACCAGTCACTCTTTTCTCTTACCCTATATTTCTTCATAGCACCACTACTGCATATTTACTTGTTTACTGGGCAGTGTCTGCATCCTCCTCAGACTCTGAGTTCTCTGAGGACATAGTCTGCTTTGTTCATGGCTGTATCTTCAAGGTACAGAAGAATGCCTGGCACACAGTAGGAGCTCAATAAATAGTTGTTCAATGAAGAAATCATTCAGTGGATCAGTGAAACCATTGTTGCCTAATGACCTAGAGAGCCTCTGATATTAATTTACTGCTTTCTCCAATTCCCAAGAATGTACTGAAAACTGCACATTTCCTTTGATCTTACTTTTGATGTGATAACCCAGGGCCATGGTTAGTGTTTCTGTTAAGTGTGACCCACACCTAACCACCTCCAAACTTGGGTCACCAAATGACCAAAGCTCACACACTGCAGAGGTCTCTCCAGGGCCCCAGCAGCTCAGGACCAGACTCCAGGTGGTCGTGCTCACTCAAGAGATGGTTTTCCACTCAAGATAAAGGGAAGTGAATGAAGGATGGATTCCCTGCTTGCCTTGGGTTCCCCTTGCATGACTTGTTCAGTAACCATTGCCTTTTATCATCTCTTCCTTCTGGAAAGAACTCCATTCAATAACCACGTGATCACTATCCTCCGCAAAATCTGCAGAAGGGTTCCTCTTAAATATCCAAAAAGTAGTTTTAAACTTGTAGAAGATAACAAAATACTATTTAAAAAAAACAGATAACACAGTCTCTTACCAGCACCTTTTCTCTCACAGTAGAGGTCTAAGGGTTGATGGTGCCTAGTTCATGTAATGCCACAAAACTGATCACGGTAAAAGGATATGCTGCTTCCAGAAGCTATAGACATGAGATACAGGTCTCCCTAGTCAAGTACTAGTCCTTTTTTGCAAATTGAAATCTGTGGGCCTTTTGGAGGAGGAAAATTTCAACCCACATCTAACCACCCTTCTCTCTCCACAAGCTTATGAAGTCAGTCACTTCCTTCACTGTGAACCAAGATTACTTGGGTATATAAATCTCCATTTCTTCAACACATTGTGCATAAATTCAACTAATTAGGGCTGTCATAAGCCACTACTATTAGCACAACATCATCCTAAGTGCTGTGGGTCACACAAAGGAAATACACAATGACCTTGTTTACCCTTAATCATCCTGAACCCCCTCAGCTCTCTGAGATTTGAAATCAGAATGATATCACTTTTCTCCTAACCCTCTAGAAAGTTTTAGAAACATAAATTGGGTCATGCCTCAAACACAAGAAGCAAGGCGTTAATGGAAAACATGAAGCAGTTACCCTTGGTGGTATTATTAGTCTCTCTCTCTCTGGGATCAGTGATGTATAATCCTATGATGTAATTTCCCTTATGGTTTTTTAAATGTCATTTTGAATTTCAGGCAGTGAACAAGTGTGCCAGTACGGGCTGAATGGGGAGCATTAATAATGTGAGATTTTAATGATGAACTTTGAAAGGTGTTCTTTTCAGGAAGCACATTATAAAGAAGTTTTCTAGATAAAGAGAAAATGCACTTCTTACCTCCTACCAACAAGTAGCTGTTTGGAAACAATGTTTTTGCTTGCATAAGTGCCCTTGCATGACCTGAGTGGAAGAGGTCAAATATTCCATCTGCATATACTCTGACAGGCCTGTCAACTGTGGAAGAAAGAAAACACCATCAACAGAACCGCAGAATAAGGAACCCCAGTTACCTGATTCTTCCATCAGTATAGCAATGTAAGGAAGTTTACCTGGATAAAATACAATGTCTGCATACCATCAATTTCATATGAGTGCATGAAATTAATTTTACAAAGAGGTTCTTCTGAGGACATCAAAGCAGAGTAAAAAGGTAACAAAACTAAGATAGACCCAGAACACACATTTTTAGCCAACAGAAAAGACAAACACAGAGCACTCGGGAGTTCTCTTGATCCAGAGTGGAGTCTCAGGTGTCTGAGCTGGCAGATTCAGACAGACCAGGCGCAGCCAAAGGTTTGGCAGAGTCAGCCCAGTGGGAATATCAAGGCAAGAGTAACTGAGAAGCTCAATGAAACAGACAAATGACTTCCTCCTTGAGTCTGGCAGTCCTGAATGAAGACCCCCGCATCCTGCTCCTAAAGGTAGTGTGCTGGAGGCTGCTCACACTGCTCAAAGAGACAGTTATGCACCTTTTTTCCCAACTTCAAGTCACATTGGTAGTCTGAAAGCAGCCTTGGTAGGAGTATTTATACCACCAGAATTGGCAAACGCTACAAATCAAGGCTTATTTCCCTCTGGGGGGCCAAGTGTTAAACGTTTAGCAGCATACCACTGCACAAAGGTCACTCTCTAACCTCTTCAGTATCATAAGAGATGGGGGCAGTACACATGCCCCAAAGGGAGGAGAGTCAGGGTGTAAAAGTTACATGTAGGGGTGGCACTCAGGATCGGAGGCAAGGGACCAACAGTACAATCTTTCCTAGGGAGAAAGGTCAAGAGTGAAGAGGCCACAACAGACACTCTCACAGTGGCATACAGTGCTCTGGGAAGTGTCATTCCATGAGGAAGAGGGACACACTTCACCACAGCCCCCTGGGAGCCAGGAGACTGTGCTAGAAACTGCAGGATGGGCTGGCCTGGTGGCTTAGCAGTTAAGTGCGCACGCTCCGCTACTGGTGGCCCAGGTTCGGATCCCAGGTGCGCACCGACGCACCACTTCTCCGGCCATGCTGAGGCCGCATCCCACATACAGCAACTAGAAGCATGTGCAACTATGACATACAACTATCTACTGGGGCTTTGGGGAAAAAAAAGGAGGAGGATTGGCAATAGATGTTAGCTCAGAGCCGGTCTTCCTCAGCAAAAAGAGGAGGATTAGCACGGATGTTAGCTCAGGGCTGATCTTCCTCACACACACAAAAAAAAGAAACTGCAGGATGACACTTTTGCTGACCCAACCCAAAAACCCATCCCCTCAAATATGAGGGAGACATCAACGGGTAGAGGGGTTGGGTGCCAACTTTTACACCATTCTGGACTCTCAACAAAGGAACTAGAAAATGAAAATACGGTAAACTACAAGCTAAATACAGTGAACTGAACACACACATGCTTATCTCCACTTCCTCCCAAACACAATAAGAATTACAGAGACAGAATTTAAAAGGTATAATCCCCCAAAGTCAGAGAAAACAAGAAAGGCAATGACAGTGGATGAAAGATGTCAAAACATTTTGGCAAGTTGATTGTCAAGTGCTGAGTCCCTACAGGGAACAAGAACCTGGGGTGGGGCAGGTAGGGAAAGGGATTGCTGGGTTTTTTTTTAATAAGCCTACAAATCCTACTGACAGTTTAAACTACATGCATGTATTATACTGATGTTATAAAAATAAATTTGAAAAAAGAAATCAATGCAAAGTTTTGTTGAACGATCTTTAAGACCTAGATTTAAAATTGTGATTATTTCTTGATGTAGTGCAACCTCATTAATTTGCAACATAAATTAAAAGGAATGTTACATTAAGATTCAGATGATACAATGTTTCTAATAAATTAAATTTCTCTAATAAAAAAAGAGAGAGACTTTACGTTAGATAGGGAATTGCAATTATTCCCAATTATACATCACTTTGAACAAACAGAATTGCCTTCACAGGATTATACTGTATTCTAAATAAGGCACAGTAAATAGAAAATGCTTTGAAATAACAAACTGTCTAATGAAGGATCCTTGGTTTCAATGCTCTTATTCAATTTGAATTCAATCGAGGAAAATTTGTTTTAAGATACAAACCCCAGGGGAAAGCAGATGGCAGTTTTGCAGAACTTTTTGTTACTGATTCAGAGGTGATCAAGATAAGTGAATTCAGGAATCAGGGAGGAAAGAAAAGTAAAGAAAGATGGCATAATTACTGAGAAAAAGGCCATTTAGTAAATCTTTGAAGAGTATTTGTGGAGTTGATTTTGCAATAAGCCCACTTTTAAAAATTGTCGTGTGTCAGCAATTTCCAGACTGGGAAACTCTGTAGAACCAAAAAAAAAAAAAAAAAAGAACCCAGTCTCTTCAACAAATAAACTTATAAACTTCAAGGAAAAAAAGAAAGAAACTGAGAGAGGACTTGCAGATTAAAAGAGATTTAAAAGACATTTCAACATGTTGTATGTACATTATTTGGATTTGGGTTCAAACAACTAAAAATAAATGATCACATAAGACAACTGGAAATTGGAACACTGGATATTTGATGATTTTAAAGAATTACTGTTAATTTTTTAGGTGAGATAATAGTATAGTGGTTATGTTTTTAAAAATAGAGTTCTTATTTTTTTAGACATATATAGAGAAATATTTATGGATGAAATGATAGGAAGCCTGGGATTTTGCTTCAAATAATTCAAGAGGGGAGAGTAGATGGGGGTGTGCATGGGGCAATACTGGCCATGGGTTGTTGGTTGTTAGGTATAGGTGACGGACACATGAAGTTTCATTATATTGCTCTACTTTTGTGTATGTTTGAAGTTCTCCATAATAAATTTTTTATTAGAGTGTGCCTTTTTTAGTTAATTTGTATGTTTATTTGTTTTCATCTTTTTTTGAGGTTTTTCTGGACACCTTTTTGGTCATCTGAGGACTCTCCAGAGTGCCGATGTTGGGAACCACTGGCCTGTGAAGCTGGAGGTTTGACAATGATCACAAGTCGGAACACAACTATTCCATGGCCGTGGCAGAGAGACCTTGGTGGCTCCTAATGATCTCTGCCTCCTGGTATTCATGCCTTTGTGTGATCCCCCCCTTTGAAGTGTGAGTGGGACCTGTGACTTGCTTCTAACCAGTAGAATATGGCAAAGATGATAGATGTCATTCCCATGATTATGCTACATTATATACGACTAGATATTGCCAGCAGATCACTCTTTCTCCCTTGGTGGCTTTGAAGAAGCAAGCTGCCATGTTGTGAGAGAGCCTATAGAGAGGGCCACATAGCAAGGAACTGCAGGTGGCCTCTAAGAGCTGAGGATGGATGGCCTCTGGCTGACAACCAGCAAGAAGCTATATCATTGGTCTTACAATTGCAAGGAAATAAATTCTGCCAACAACCTGAGTGAGCTCAGAAGCAGATCTATCACCAATCAAGCCTCCAGGTGAGAACTGAGCCCTGCATGACACCTCGAATGCAGCCTTGTGAGACACTGAGCAGAGGACTCAGCTAAGCCAGGCTCAGACTCTTGACATGTAGAAATTACAATATAATAAATGTGCATTGTTTTAAGCCACTAGGTCTGTGGCAATATGTTATGCAGCATAGAAAATTAATACAATGGCATTATAGCCTTTCTGCCCATTGATTATTATAAATTTTTAAAGTATTTCAAAGTAAATTCCTGTTTATCCTGAATGGTCAGAGTAAGGCATATCAGATAAATGTCATGTTCTGATAAAAATGCATGTCTGGGGGCTGGCCCAGTGGCGTAGGTTTAAGGTTAAATTTGCACACTCCGCTTCAGCAGCCCGGAGTTCGCAGGTTTGGATCCTGGGCGCGGATCGATGCACCACTTATCAAGCCATGCTATGGTGGCGTCCCATATAAAGTAGAGGAAGATGGGCAAGGGTGTGAGCCCAGGGCCAATCTTCCTCAGCAAAACAGAGGAGGATTGACAACAGATGTTAGCTCAGGGCTAATCTTCCTCAAAAAAAAAAAATGCATGTCCATATACCATATGTTGATTACCATGTTTCAAATAATTTAAATATAACAAACTACACATAACACCAAAACGATACTGAATATTTGCTTGAGGATCATGGATACAAATAATGACCATGGTACAGTACTGTGGGGAAAATTTGATTATTTTAACATCCTAGATCTTACATTCCAAATTTTTATAAGTTATTCAGCCCATATAAGTAAATGAAACCGTGAAGGGCGCTATGCTTACCTCGCATCTCACACCATATACAAAAATTAACTCGAAATAGATCATAGATTTAAATGTAAGAGCTAAAACTATAAAACTTCTAGACAAAAACAGGAGAAAATCTTAGTGACTTTGGGTTTGGCAAAAATTTCTTAAAGAGGACCCAAAAAGGACACACTATAAAACCAAAAACTTGATAAAACTGGACCTTATTTAAAAATTCTGAAAAAAATTTTTTTAAACAAATAAAAACTTTTACCCTTCAAAAGACATTTTTACAAAAGTGAAAAGGCAAGTCATAGACAAGGAGAAAATATTTGCAAAATATATATATCTGATATAGGACTTGTATCTAGAATATATAAAGAACTCTCAAATCTCAATAATAAGACAAACAACTCATTTTTAAAAATGGCAAAAAAATCGAACAAACACTTCACCAAAGAAAATAAATATATGGATGACAAATAAGCACGTGAAAAGATCCTCAACATCATTAGTCATTAGGGAAATACAAATTAAAGCCATGAGGAAATATCACTTCATACTCACTAGAACGGCTAAAAATTTTAAAAAATATATTGACCATACCGAGTGTTGGTGAGAACAGAGTACAACTGGAACTCTCATACACTGCCAGTGGAAATGTAAAATGTACAATCTCTTTGGAAAGCAGTTTGGCAGTTGGTTAAAAGGTTAAATATCTGCCTACCATACAGCCAGACAGGAGGCAATCACCAACTCCATCACATCTGAATTCACATTTTTGTGGAGTGTGTTACCGCGTTTCCTGGTATTGCTTCAGATTCAGGCAACAACCAAAGGGTGATTATTCCTTTTTGATTATGGCCATTAACAAGCTACATTTAAACAATGCCTTAAAAGTACATACAATTTACAAAGCATGTATATTTCACTTAATCTTTGCATCACCTCTGTGAGGTAGGTATGGGAGAGTGGACTTACTATCCTCGCTTCCTAGAGGGGCAAATGGAGGCTCAGCAAAGTTAAGCAGCTTACCCAATGCCATACAACCAAACTAATATGAAGTTTGAGTGCAAGTCAAACTTCATTGCCCTTTCTTCTAACTCGTGGTGCCTTCTAGAAAACTACCTGCCAACATGCATTCTTTGAAAAAAGAAGTGAGAGAGAGAGACTATTGCTAAACGCCCAGTAATTATGGTAACTAGTATTGTTTTTGTGTACAATTGATCTGCAAAAAAGGTGGCACAAAAATTAACCATTTAGAATCTAATAGTTACATACTTTATAAAGTTCATAGTTTTATATAAACTTTATAATTTCCTTCTACTTATAACCAGCAATAGTATTTTCAATAAATGATGATTGATGTTTGCTTTTTAAATACATTAAATTTAAGTAAAAAAGAGTACATTTAAAGAAAAATTAAGTAAATTATAGTACAGATGGCATACAAATAAAGCAAAATTCATTAAGGTGGCCCTTGAAAAATGAATTTGGGAAACTCTACCCACTGTGGAAACAAAATAATACAAATCCCCTTTTTGAGGAAAATAAGAAATCAGAACTGAGTTTCCCTTTAAGACAAAAATCAGCTTTTATGAAAAAGAACCTATGAAACTGTCACTTGGACTCTTCCTTTATCTCAAGATAGAGGAATGATTCTCTCTGTCCCAGGATACATACTAAACCTTGGAGGCTCATAGCTCCATAGCTGGACTAGTTGAGCTAAGATCAAAGGTGCTGATTCCGATTGCTCTACTGTATTCCTTCTCTTGAGGTTTCACCACCCTTGTGACTTCACAGACGAGATCCAGGAGCTAAGAGCAGAGTTTGTCATGACCTCTTTTATAATTTATACCCCAGGACCTGTTTGGGCAGACCTAAGATCGTGAAACATATTGTGGGCAATTGTATTGTCTAAAACAGGGCTAGTGAAGGAGACAGTGAAAGACTTCAGGTTTAACTATAATCTTGAAGCTCATTATAAACCCCAAATACAGGTCTGTTTGTCTTTTTGATGGAATGCTCAAGACAGTGCCACACAAAGGTAATTGCTTACTACACTTGAAAATTGCCAAACACTTCAAAAAATAATGATATTTTTCTTGTTTTCTTAAAAAGTAGGCAAACAGCAAGATTTTTTTTTTTATTTTTTGTTTAGTGCAGTAACATTGCAGCGTTATTCACAATAGCCAAGACTTGGAAGCAACCTAAGTGCCCATCAAAGGACGAATGGATAAAGAAGATGTGGTATATATACACAATGGAATACTACTCAGCCATAAGAAACGATGAAATCCAGCCATTTGTGACAACATGGATGGACATTGAGGGTATAATGCAAAGTGAAATAAGTCAGAGGGAGAAGGTCAAATACCATATGATTTCCTTCATTAAGTAGTAGATAATAACAACAATAAGCAAACAGCAAGATTTTTTAAATTCTCTGAGCTTTTCTTCTAACAGTACAATGCTGACAATTATATTTGGGTAATCTTCCTGTCACTCCCTCCAACCACTACCAAGGGTTACTCTTAAGCAGTGGTTCTTGCAGTGTGATCCCAGGACAGGCAGCATCAGCATTAGCATCACCTGGGAACTTGTTAGAGATGCAAATTATCAAGCCCCACCTCAGACCTACTGAATCAGAAACTCTGGGGGTGGAGCCCAGCAGTCTGTTTTAACAAGCCCTCCAGGGGATTCTAAGCTCACAGAAGTTTGAGGACCACTGCTCTAATAAAGCAATGGTTATCAGAGCATGGTCTAAGACTAACATGTGCCTTCTAGGTAATCAAAGAACTAACTTCTTGTCACATTTTAACACTGATGTTAGAAGTTCTAAATAAAGGAATTTCTAACAGAAGTTCCCCAGGCCAGGTGCCCATCAACATCACAAATTCTCTTGGATAACTTCTCAGTGTCATCACCTGAGATAAGAGGGGAGCATTTCTCTTCTAAGACTGGGAGTTCACCTTTGCTCCATCTCACTCCTCCTGTAGTGACCCATGTTCCACAGAGCCCACCACACAGCTATTTCAAAATGCGCCACCATCTTATTCTAGCCTGATTCTCAGGGTTTAAACTGCTTGGAGGTTAGACAATGTACAGGTGCCCAATCTCACCCAATTAGCTCGATGCCAGCTCAAAGCATCAGACCAAACTCTGATTCTATATCCAGAGGACAAGCTCCTTCTCTTGTCCCAAACTTTCAGTCATTCGTTTATTCATCCATTCATTCATTCATGAAACATTTACTGAGCATACAATACTTGACAAGTACTTCTCCAGGTGCAGGTGCAACAGCAGGGAGCATGGCAGATGGTCCTGCCACTACAGAAGATCACAGCTACTGTCTGCCTTGTTCACACACCTTCCACCCTCCAGTTCAAAGCCTGAGCATGTTTTCACTTAACTCCACGGTGTGCTGTGGGCTGGGCTCCACAGGGCAGCCCGTTGTGGTGGACAAAGCAAGAGTTTGAGGTAAAAGGGACTTGGGGTCGAATCCTAGCTCTACCCAGTCAGCTAGGACATTTGACAAGTTATTTTTCCGTTCTCCAAGTTTCATTTGCCTTATCTGTAGAAAGGACAATAATCCCATCTCCCACTGTTTTTGCAAAGACCTAACGAGACAGAGTACAGGTCATAGCACCCAGCAGATGTAGAATAAGTTCTACTTCCCCAGAAAAGTAGGGTCCTTTTCTGCTCGGGCCTGAAGTGCATCCCTTCAGTTCAGGTCAAATCTGTCTCTGGACTTGCACTGCATTTGCATTTGTTGCTGGGTGTGTATTTCTCAGTGTATGGACTGTAGACCACCAACTTCAGAATCACCTGGGCTGTTTGTTCAAAATGCAAATGCCTGCGCCCCACCGTGGATTCAAGGGTGGGAGGGAGAGAGTAGGAAATCTGATTCTGTAACAAATTTACCAGGTGATTCTTTGCACACCAAAGTCTGGAAACAACTGGTTGAGCTGCTCTGAACTACCTCCCCAAGCCTCTTCTTGCCTTTCTCAAAAGAAACTCACAAAAAAGCTTACTAACTTTGCCCACTCTCCTCACTTCAGTCTCTCGAAGGCTATTCTTAAAGAGGAAGCAGAGGGTCATGGTTGAGAGATCAAGCTCAAACACAAACAGGCTTGGGATCAAATCCCAGCTTTACCACTTACCAATGGTTCTCAAACTGTGCTCCCCCAGCAGCAACATACCCCCCAGGTGATGTTTAGAGATACAAATTCTTTAGCCCCGCCCCAGTTGGACTGAATCAGAAACTCTGGGGGTGGCCCAGCAATCTGTGTTTTCCCAGCCCTCCAGGGGATTCTGACGCAGGCTCCAGTGTGAGAACCACTGGCACTTATTAGCTGAACAACCTTGTGCAGATTCACAGCTTCTCAAAAGACTTCATTTCCCCATCTATGAAATACTAAAGGTACTAACTATATGGAGTTGTGATAGTGAAATGACATGATACATATAAACAATTTAGTACATAGTAAGCACTTGATAAACATCTGTTTTTATTATTATTAAGCGAATTGTCCTTTGTCCCATGGATTCTATTAAATTGGGGGTGTTTGTTTTTGCGATGGTGAGTGGAAACCATTGAGTTATGCCATCTTAAATGGCTCAAAGTTTACCAGCTCAGTCTTATTTTTCACTCCATCCCAATCAACTAGAACACCACTCATTAACTCTCTCTCTCTGTGCCTTCACTATTCCTGTTCCATTGCCCAGAATACCCTTCCATTTTCTGCCCACATAGTCCAAATCTTACTTCTCCCAGAAGCATAAGCTCAGGTCTGCTATCAGGTCTTGCCTGACTGCTCCCAGCCAAATGAATCTGCCCTTCCTAAAATTGTCAGTTATCATCTGTGTTGCAGGATTTAAACCCTAAGCATATGCATGCATGCTACTGGTGGGCTTTTACTTCATATCTAGTTGTCTTATCTCTTTAATTACAGTGAGAGCTCTTGGGAAACAGAAATGGTACCTTATAGTTCTTTTTAAATCTCTTCCCTATCCATCCTCTGGTATACACTAGAGGAGTGAATGAATGAACACACTCCTAGAGCAGAGCCCAGGCTCTTTAACAGAAGGCACAATTGGAGAAACTTTTAAAAACACAGACTTTTAACAATGGTAATAATTATAGTAGCTTAGGTTTGTATAAGTCTTCACAGTTTAAAAAATGCTTTGGTATTTTTAACAGAATCTAGTTGTCACAAAAACCTTGTGAAGCAGGTATCGACGCCCCTGTTTTGCACATGAGGAAACAGATTCAGATCATTCTCATGACTTGCCCAAGGCTGTAGAACTAGTAAATGGCAGAGCTGGGCCTCCAACTCCGGTATCCCGCTACTTCTTTCACTGGGCAACTTTGGTTGATCTAGTTTATCACTGTTGGTATTTCTCCTTCTTGCTCTGTGCTATAATCTCTAAATTCAACTCTTCCATTGAAAGTGAGTGCTGCTCAAATAACGATGGGCCTTTCTGGCACTTTAGCTGTCAGGACAGGGCCCATTTGGAGAACAAGAAGTACAGCCTCACCTGGTGTTCCTAAGCGGGCCTGAGCAATGGTCAGTCTTTCATGGGGTGCTTGGCACTGGCAGCTGCTTTCATCTGCAAATGGGGCAGGTGCAGTCAGGGTCTAGAAGGGAAAAAGAGAAAGGGAATACAGTCTGACAAACTTTCCTTTGGCACTAATCTCCCCTGAAGTTTTACTTCTGTTGGCTACGCAGGTATGATTAAGAAGTAGAATATATCTGCTGAGTCTTTCAGAGAAATATTGTACTGTTATAAATAAAAACAGGGACAGTGTCACTGAAACCTTTTTTGACTGATGCTTCGGAAATAATCAGAGCTCTGCAGTGTCTACTCTATGCCAGGTACCAGATGAGGTACTCTGAATATGTTATCTCTTTTAGGCCCCACAACACCCTATGATGGCTAGATACTTCTATCTTTCTATAGGCATTCTATCCTTCTATAGTATAGGGTAACACCGTGTCTATTTCACAGAAAAGGAAACTGAGGCTTCGCAGGATTAAGAAACATGCTAAGTCATGCCCTAGAAAGTCACAATGCCCAGCTTTGAACATTTCACAACCACCGAGGGCAGACTTCAATCATTTAGACTTACCCACACCCCAGGGTACTCGGCTGGAAGGAATGCCATACTCAGAAGTGTGGTAGACATCTCCTGTATTTCACACACACCAGCCTGGCCAATCACAAACTCTGACATCTCTTCAGTGCAAAGGCCAACGCCGTTCTCTGTGCCCTGGGAGGGCCTAAAAGCACAGCATTTCTGGCGGGCTGCAGATAACTGCTCTATGGCAGCTCCCACTGCCACCAACGGCTGGAGGCCCCGCCCCAGGCAGCTTGGGCTGGGGCTCTGGGGAGCGCTGTGAGAGAGATGTAGTCACTTGGAAGCCTGCCCAGGAAGTGGCTCTGCATTTTTTAGTCAGCCTCTTAAAATGAAAACCTCACTCTCTCCAGACAGAGGAAGAAAAAGCCAGTGGTATTTTTGTAAACAGGGCAAATGCAATCGAGACTTGTCCATTCGTAGTCTTTGAACTATGTCATTACCATGAGCATCACTATACCATCTTTGGTATTTTTAAAGCTGAAGTTGACAAGTCCTTGTAAACGTTACTCATATTGTTACATGAATTGTTTCTTAGAGATAGACACAGGTGTTCCTTAACTCGGGAAGACTCAACTGAAGAACGATCCATACATTTGAGGAGGGGCTATGACCCACTTCTGCCATTCATTTATTCGTTCCCTCACTCATTCGAAAATGTGTCATGCGCTATCTTAGAACCCAGGATAGAATAGGGATAAGACCAGTCCCCGTCCTGGAGGAGCCCCCATCTCTTCCACGCTGCCAAGAAGCAATCCTTGCCCTGCCCCCACACCTCACCCCATTGTAGCACCTTCCACTCTGGAGGCTAGAGTCCTGCCCCAAAGTTGTTTGGAGACCTCCCAGTTGCCTGAGACGTTCTTAACCCCCACCCTCCCATTCAGGGCTTGGAAAGCAGACCAAGACTCTGGACATGGATTCAGGAAACTTGCAAGCATTGTTGGTTCTTTTTCAGATACATTAAGGTGACCTTGTGGGCCATGGTGGGCCGGAGCAGCATTTTAATGTGGCAAAGGGTGCAGTGACAAGAGCAGAGGCTCCGTAGCCACAAAACTGGGGTTCAAATCCCCTTTCCAGCACTTACAGGCTGTGTATTCTAATTTGACTCTCCTAGTTTAAAGGAACTGACACTCACTAAAGTTAGCTCAAGAGACGAAAGATTATTTTAAGGCTACCCTGGTGCAGAAACTGTGGGGAAAAAAGGAAGAAAGCAGCCCCTGGCCCCAGAGTGCTCTGCACCAACCTGGCTGCTCTCTGCACGTGATTCTTTCTGTCCCACCCTCATTTACCTTATATCCTTCCTCTACATTAAAGTTTCTCTTTGCCTTCTACTCCCCCATAAACTTCAGCTTAAATATGGCCCATCATGGCTTCCTAGGCCTCTCTTCCCAACACTCATTCAACAACTTTTCATTGAGCCTTTCAGCCCCAGCTCCTGCTCCTACCAACTTACTGCTTCTTTCCATGTTTCCCAATTCAAGTTCCTAATGGAGAATCAGATCAGCCAAGCTCATCTTTTCCAACTAGGCCACAACCATTGAACTGGATTGGCTTGCATTGAATCAGATGCCCACCTGGGGCCCACCAGCTGTGGCTGGTGAGGGGAGGTAGAGTGGCAGGGGAGGTCATGAGTGGCCTGTCACTGCCCCTTTAGTAGGAACTGTCACTGGGGCAAAAAATATATTTGACCTTGTGTGCTCTTAAAAGGAAGTTCCTTAAATTAGTTGAATCTCAGTTTCATCTGTAAAATGGGCACCCATCTTGCAGGGTTTTTGTGAAAAATAGAGACAATGTATGTAAAGTACCTGGTACTCAATAAATTGTGGCAATTATTATTACTGCTATTAGTATTCATTATTATATATCATAATATAGACTACTATATACTATATATTATGATATAATAATAGATAATGTAGTTCCCCATAGAAACAAGCAAATTGACTCATGAGTGAATTTTTAGGACATAACCCAAAAAAGTATATGCATTGACAAATGGGATTGGCTTATAGTAATGATTCACTAACCTTTAATATATGTGGACAGTGAATCTTTTTTATATGATCTAAAATAAATTACTCTTTGGAGATCTTTTACGTGCTAGCCAAGAAATTTATTAAGGAGATAAGGTGTTGCTGTTTTCTAAGAAAGGTCTATTCTAGATGGTGTGAAATCTGGTAATTAAAGCAGAGATAGAGAAAGTTGTAAAGCAATGATAGTTACTCAAAGGTGAAGAAAAGCTTTTATGCATTGTGCATTTTGTTCTTAATTATTGTGGCCTAGAAGTAAGGAAAAAGGAGAAGTGAAGAGATGGAAGGCAGAGAGAGTTCATAAGTGAGCTTGTGTGTGCATGTGTGCACATGTGTACATTTGTGTGCTTGTGAGCATCTTTAACAGCAGTTGACATGGAGAAGGGGTATTTCTTGTTATGTACAAGGCACTGTGCTTGGAATGGGGAGAATGCAAAAATAAATGAGCCATAGCCTTGCTGTGAACATTGCCAGAACACTGCCTTCCAAAGTGAGGCAGAATACTGCCTGGGGTTGAGAGTCAAGCTCTGCATTCAGGAAGACCTTGGTTAAGGCCCACCTACCACCAACCAGCCCTGTGACTTGAGGTAATATTTTTTCAGTCCAAACACCCCAGAACTCCTTCTTCTCTGAGCCAGAACAAATCATTTGATTTACAAGGGCTTCTATGCAACTCAGGTTCTGTCTTCTCCACCTATAAGGACTAACCTTATAGACTAACCTCAGAACAATGGGAGTAAGATAGCCAGAAGCTCCAGAGAGGGGCAAGGACTGGTCCAACTTGGCCTTTAGGCTCTATACTGGCCTGCAGGGGACCCAGGCCCCCATCTATTCCTTACCACTTGCCAGAGCTGGGATGGTTCTAGGGATCCTCTGGTCGATGCCCTACCTAGGACATAAAATTGAGGCCCAATAATATAGCATAATAGCTAAATCTTTGAGTGCCTACATAGTGTCATGTATCCATCTACACACTAAGCACTTGAAACGTATTAGTTCATTTAATTTAACCACAACTCTGCGAGGTAGGTATCTCCATGGAATTGTACAGGACCTGTGTTCAACAGTGACACCAAGTGGTAGCAAGAAGCAACAGCAGTGGTAGATCCTTTAGATTCAGTTACCTTTTTGGCTCCCTTTGAACTGAGGAAACTCTCAGGATTCTTAGACAATTAGGATAGAAGGACCTCAAAAAGGAGACACTGGACTTCCTGATAATTAGAGAAGGGGGAGCAAACAATTAATTGAAAAAACAAAAGCATGTGACCATATTTCTACCCAGACTTAGTGTAGTAGGTCAGATGACTAACATACAGTTACTGGCTAGCCTCAGTCTAGATTCCACACCACCCAGATCGCATCGTTGAGTGTTTACTAGCACATGCTATGTGTTTCTTATGATGCTAGATGTTTGGAGAGTGGATAAATGGAGGGGAGAAATAAGAAGGGAAGGAAAAGAATTGGCTCTGAGGCAGCAATCCTCAAAGGTGAAGGGTGGCCCTGTTAGACTGGGAGGAGGTATTAGTTTGAAAAGGCACATTCAATTTTCAATAATTTCACATCTGGAAAAAAAATCCTACCCTTTTCAACATACATATCCTAGAAATTAAGCCTCTGAACTGGTAGAGATCATCAGAGATAGACTATGCCCTCCCAGGAAGCTATATTCCAAATTCAAGGCTGAGGAGGCACATTAAATTTTCATGTTTAGCAGAGGAGAGAGAGGGTTTTAAAGGGTTAAGAAGCCCTGGCCCAGTGCCCTGGACCTCACATGTGCAAGGGTCTTGGCAGACCACAGACTTGGAGCTAGACTGCAATAAAACTTCCTTCTTCCTAATTTAAGATTTCAGAACACTCAGTCATAGCATGTGAATATGTTGCCTATTTGTCATACAAGTTCTGGTTATGGAAACTCTACTGTAGTACCATACCAAAGCTGTATTCCCATCAGGCTTTTTAAAGGGGAAGACGTTAGATATTTGGGCATTTCATTTGCAGAATATGTTCAATTGGACATTGTCAAATATTTACTTAAAACAAAAGCTATTAGGCACTAGATGAAATATACAGTGCAAACATTACTTGGGTGCAAAAAAATGGTCGGTAGAACCTGTTCTTATGCAATGTGCATCACTGACTGGCAACTGGACGAATCAGACAGCAAGCTAATCAACCAGTCAGAACCTAGCATAGTACTGCTGATGGTGACAACCAGCTGTAGAATTGCTTGTTTAAGCTAAGCTATTCTTCACTACAGTAGGGCAGTTCAGTCAGACAGGCATGAGTTCAAATCTTAGCTCCATTATTTAATATCCATTTGATTTTTTAAATTTAATTTTTAGAAAATTCCTAGTTCTTAACCTCTCTAACCTTCAGTACCCTCATCTATAAAAGGGGAATAATAAAGTGATCTACCTCATGAAGCTGTTGTGAGGAGTAAATGAAATGATGCATATGTGATTAATATCTTCC